TATTCTGCCTGGAGTTGTTCTTTAATGTACATGGAAGCAGCCATAATTCATCATTACATATGCACACTGTGCTTTTTGCTTAGTAGTACTTAGGGCCTGTGTCAATAGCATTAGCTGGAGACACGTCTGAGATCTGTCAGAACTCACCGACAGGTGCATATGAACTACAGTTGACCCAAACTGCACTTGATCTGCTTCCAGCAGGTTTTGCAACCTCGCAGACTTGTATGAAAATGCAAAACCTGTCTTAAGCAAGCAAAAGTATGTCAGCACAGGGCCTTATTGCTCCTCTAACAACATCTTGTCTATAAGTGAACTGAACTTGTAGGGTGCTTGCAATGACACAACAGATGATGCTGTTGTAAAAAAAACAAAAACAGATGGTGTAGAAAGTCACCAGCACTCCAAAAAATTATTTTCACAATTTATTGTGAAAACATGTTGTAAAGTTCATGCCAACATTTTGGGGCCTTGTAGGGTTATTTAAGGGCCAGTCACACCATCAAGAGTGTGTTTGACCTCTGGAACGCACTGGAATGCTACCTGGCCAGTGCAATCTGCATGAAATAGTGCATGCAGCATTTTTTGCCGATTGCACTGGACCGGAACGCATGAACTAACGTGCTACGCGTTCGGGTGGCTGCGGTGCCATTGAGTTCAATGCACTGCCACACCCCTAAAAAAGTGAGCCGGACGGGTTGCGTTCCAGAGGCCGAACACACTGGAACGGACTCTTGCTGGTGTGACAGGGCCCTCAAACCATGGTAACAGTGAGCACATTTCACAGCATTGCCTTTATAAAAGGGATGTTGGCATGAACTTTGTGATATGATGTTTTACAGTAAAGTGTGAAAAGAATGACTTGACTTTCTACTCTCTCAGTGCAAGTCTACCTGTTGTTTCCTATACTTTATATATACAGTATCTCCTATCTCATCAACTTGTATCTGTTATGGCATTTCACACATGTATTCAATGGCTAAACATGGCAGACCACCAGTTTTTTCCTTTCAGAGATGTTGTCAAGATAAACATGGTCTTTTCCTTAAACATGAAACACATGAATGGCTCTGTCTCTTTACATATTTTGGACTTTTTGTGTGACTACATTATATTAAATCATACTGACAGACTCCATACATGATGACTCACCGTTGTAGAATGTTCATTCCTGTTTACCCAATTTAGTGCATGCATGTATATTATGTATGACTGCCTAAACCAGTGGTTCTCAACCTTTCTAGGGCCGGGACCCCTTGGTAACATTTGCCAAGTTATGGTGACCCCCAACGGTAAAATTTAGGGATGACGCGGCTGCTTCAGCGACATCTGGCGGTGTGGCGGGAGAACTGACACTGCTCCGCTGGGAGAGTGCTGAGGAGGACTCTCACCTAGCACAGCAGAAATCACACAGCGACCCACAGGTTGAGAACCACTGGCGTACGCCGTCAGAATAAAAAAAAACCCACCATAGTAATGCATAGCTAGATTCATATTGGCTATTTCACTTTGCAATAGCCAATAGCAAACTAGCTATTGCACCCGCCCTCTGCTGCTGTCAATCACTAGAAGAGGACCTGATGGAGAACTGCATGTCCCCCTCTGCTGATTGGCAGCAGCAGAGGGCGGGTGCAATATCTAGTTTGCTATTGGCTATTGCAAAGTGAAATAGCCAATAGGAATCTAGCTATGCATTCCTATGGTGGGTTTTTTTTCTGACTTACGGTGGCCAGCGGCCCCCGATGGCGGATAAAATACCGATTGCAGGGAAAGGTTTACTCTGCTTTACACTTTCCGGGAGAGAGTGTTTGTTTCTTTCCCGGGTGGCCAGGAGCCGCTATCTAATAGTGGGAGACTCCCGGGCGACCCCTGGCAAATCGTGATTCGACCCCCGAGGGGGTCGCGACCCGCAGGTTGAGAACCGCTGGCCTAAACCATACTTTAAAGTATACTGAAAACAGTACATTGAAACGGTTACTTGAAGAAACACTCCACTTTTCAGACCACGTTTCATGTTATATATTAGAGTGTAACATAAAACATGGTCATATCCCCCAGCACCTCCCTTCCCTGAATTGCTGGGTTCTTCTCCCGGTCGGCTGCTGTCATTTTTGTTTAATCATCTCTGCCACAACGCTGCATCCCCCATTCACAGATCCAATCACGGGGTCTGTGAGCAGATAACCACTTTTCAGACTATGTTTCATGTCATACCCATATTCAGAGTGCAACATAAAACGTGGTCACATCCCCCAGCCCCCCACCTTTAACTACACCTTCCCAACTTACCTGAATCTTGGGGGTTTCTGTTCCCGCAGGCTGCTGTTATTTTTTTTTTTTTTAATTGGTGCAGGTGTGCATGGCTCCACCCACACAGCTGCATCACCCACTCACAGAGTCTGCCACTGCAGCACAGAAACTGGTAGTTCTCAATGGAGTACAAGTGCAGCGATGTACTCCATTGACCCATAAGTCTATTTACACCTCCTCCTGTCACATGACTGAAAGTCAATACCTCGGTACAGACAGGGACTGGGAAGAAGAGTCTGTAGGAGCCAGTGACAGCAGTTGCAACACTTTGCGGGCTTGAATGCAAAAAAAAAATAATAAAAAGGCACATTTTTTTTCTTTTATTACTACATGTGCATTTACTATTTTTTTTCATCAAGATGGACTATGTCTTTAATGAACATCAATCTACTAACCATAAAAAACAATGATTCAAAATGCTGTTATGCCAACAGAGAGTACAAATCATTAAGCATTGATGGAAGTAATTAGTTAAGTGTTGAGAGATATGTGGTACACACATTAAGAGAAATGTCACGTCATCCCTTATCGTTTATTAACACAGTACACAAGAAGCAGTCTTATGGTGGTTCAATCATTTAGCAGCACATGCTGAAAGACTCTTGGAATCAGAGATTTGTGATAGAGTAACAATTGTGTGTGCCTAAAGAAACCTGTGCAATAGCAGTCGTTTATCATATTGGGAAAACAGGCTCAAATCACAAAATGTAAAAGATCTGAATACGTATACTTCTCCCCAAAAAAAGGACGGTTATTTTCAGAGTCCAATGAGATTCGAAAGAAAGGGGAGCAGTAAGGCCATGTGGTCACATGACATAATTAGAGAGCCTGATCCTTAGGTTAAAGCTTTGTGAATTCAGCCTAATGTACCTTTATAACATGCCAGCCTAGAAGACTCTGTTCCAAATGTCATACATAGACAACCCACCAGCTCTGCACATAACACGGCCTGCATAGAATATAGTACACAGTGAAGGGACAAAATTGGCTCTCTAAACTGTAAGAAAAAAAAAATGGTGTACCCTTTATAAGAGATGGCCCACAAAAAGCATTCACACATTCAAGGACTTCCTCTTGGCCTTCCTAATTCAGGTTTGGATCAGAAAAGCATGCACATAGTTGTACTAACAAAGAACCCCCCTCAAAACCTCTAGATCTTACCAAGGAATTCCTCGTCTATGTATGAAATGCTGTGCAATGTGGTTGTAATTGAGGCAGGAAAGGCACAGATTCACCTGGATAGAGCAGGGCACAAGGCTCAACCTGCAACATCATACTGATAGAACTGTCCGGTCCTTAAAGGCAGAGTTTACCTTTCTGACCATGTTTGATGTTACACCCATATTTAGGGTGATCACAAACACCGACCACCCCCACACTGACCTGAATTGCAGGGTTCTTCTCCCCACAGGCTTGTTAACGTTTTTGAATTTGGATTGGCTCTGCCCACACAGTTGTGTCATCCTTTGACAGGATCCGAGAGTGGAGAAACTACAAGTCCCTCGGCAGTGGTGGCTGATGGTTCTTAATTAAATACAAGAGCAGTGACATCACCACACTTGTAGTGCATTGACACTTCCTCCCATCAATCTTACTGAATGTTCGTACCTTGGTACAGACATGGACGAGAGGAATAGTCTGCAGGAGCCACGAATCACGGTTACAATGCTTTTCTGACTTCTATGCATAAAATAAATACTTGCACATTTTTCTATTAAAGAAGTGTGCATTTATTTCTATAAAGGTTTAATTTTGCTTTAAATGTGATGTAAATCTGAGTTTGCCTGGAACTGGCACTTTATAAAATGTTATGTGCAGAATGTATGCATTCTCCTTAAAAACAGTTTAGGCCAGAGGAAAGAAAAACTGTTCAAAGCAATGATCTATTTATAAATTCAGCCAGCTCAAAGTTTTGTGCTCAGGTATAAATGTTCTAGGTCACAGGTAACAGACTGTATGGAGACTTCCCATTGTGCTAAGCTAGTCAGTTATGTTTCTAACTACAGCTAGTAAAGCACACAGAATGGCACGGACCTTGAAGGACGTACAGAAGGCATTCATATACAGGGTCATTTTTGTACTACAGCAGTGATCATGTGCCTAAGCCCTTATACGGCACTGCCATCAACGTTTATTAGGGAGCTGGTATGCATTCTTCAACATAGCCAACTGCATCATAGGCTGATACATTTATTCATTTCAGAGTAGACATATATAATAGAACATCTGAAACACACGTGGCAAATAATCATTCAGTGCATTGTTCTAAGTCCAACCCAGCTGACTTTAGATTGTACTGAAAAATGAAAAGGTTAAAGGCTTTGAAATATAGTGAAATATAGCAGCCTGTCAATACCTTGATGATGCTAGGTTCAACACAATTAAGATCTGCAAAAACTGAGAACCTTAAATAAGCAATGTTGTTTCTCTCAATGAAAAGAACATGTTTGTGGATTTACAATCTTCCTATCCACTTCATTGTCCAACATGTAGTGTTCCTCATACATAAAATACCATCTCTCCCCCCCCCCCCCTAACAATTTGATGATTGTCTTTAGGGCCATTCAAAAAAGAGGCTTTTCTATCAGAAGACTTATTTTTAAGGAATTTCAACCTCCTTTTGAGGAAGCACATACAGCAGAAACCACCGTAAGATTAAAATACAGATTTGCTGATGTAGGAGCATCAGCAATAAATTGTAGGAGCAACAAAAATAAAGACTTTATGCAGTGTCCCACTGACGCGCGATTCTCTTCTACAAAACGGCACGAGATTCATGGGAAAGAAAATTTCAAAACCTTTAACCAAGGTGCCCGAAATGCTGATATCCATACTGACACCTTACAGATGGCCTATACACGGTCGTATGTGCGCCAATACTTGTGGTTCTGCTCTGCCAGCTTTGGAAACAAAATATGCCAGACAAGCTTGTAAATCATTAATCAGGATTGGCTTATTAATAAAGTTTCCTCACAAGATAATGATGGCATCAGAAAAGTATTCAGTCATACTTTTCACTTTAGGTCTGCAGATCAGTGCATATGCAGTGTTGTGGCAATAAATAGACCTTCAGCAAGTTGTTCTGGTTCCATCTCCTCTATAAAACATGGACATTACTTTGCAGCTGCTCAGGATGACCTGCGGAATAGAAAAAAATATAATAATTAGATTCAGACACTCTTTTGCTTTCTCCCAATCATGCAAAACAAACAGACCCTGCAGATTTGAATGTTTGTAAGCTTATTCTTAATGGAGAACTATGAGGTGAGTGCTTTTCACTCACCTCATAGTTCTAGCCGACCTGTGACAATGAGACTGTCACAGGTCGGCTCAGTAGATCGGGAGGTGAGCGAACACATGCCGGCGTTCGCTCACATCTCGATCCTGTCACGGCTCTCTGCCGTGACAGGGGAGGGGCTGGATTCCCCCCTCCCCGCTCTGCCAGCACTGACTGGCGGAACGGACGGGGGATGGGTACAACTGGCTCTGCCTCTATAGAGGCAGAGCCAGCTGTCAGTCACACAGCTGGGCGGATCCCGGCACAATTGTCAGGATCCGCTTCAGCTGCGGCGTCTCAGTATACCGCGAGCAGCAGCTCACGGTATACTGAGCCTAGGGTGACGGGAGGACGCTAGTTTGTGTCCTCCCATTACCCTAAGGAGAACTATGGGGAAAAGACTTAACCCCATAGTTCTCCTTTAAGGTCTCGTTCACACCTAGGCGTATTGCATATGCGCGTCTGTCGCGCGTTTTTTTACCGCAATTCGCGCTAAAAAAGCCGAGCGACAGACGCGCGTTTCCGAAGGCTACTTGGCTGTATCCCAATGGAAACGCGCAACAAAACGGCCCAAAGTAGTACATGTACCTTTTCAGGCGTGGGCCGTTTTGTAGCGCGTTAGGGACGGGCGGAAATACGCCAAAGGTGGGAACGAGACCATTGAATACAATAGGATTTATATTTTTGAGCGTTTTGTAGAGCGTTCGTCGAGTGTAGAATGCGCTACAAAACGTTCAGGTGTGAACGAGGGCTAAGACCCCATTCACACTGAGCGATTTGTACAGTTTTCCGCTCAAAAATCACTCAATGTGAAGCTCAATGTAGCTCTTCCAATGCATTTCAATGGAGATGTTCACATCTTGAAGCTCAATGTTGCCTGAAGCTTGTAGCTCGAACATAAGCTATTTTTTGGCGGATTTTGCGCTTCTTGGCCCCAATAGACTTCAATGGTGTAGCTCAATGTCGCTCATTACCGGCGTTTTTGCGCAACATTACACAAGTGTCTTTTTTGCCCAGAAATTATACTCTCCAGAGAAGTAGGAAACAGGAAGAGAATTTATGTCACATCAAAGACTGCTTTTGATTGGATACAGCCCAATGTAGCAGCTACAAAGTCCCTGTGGTAAAATGCCAAAAGAAGCGCTACGTAGCGTGGCAAAATGTGCACTGTAGCTCAAAGAAGCACAATATCACTCAAAGTCACTCTGCTCAAATCAGCGCTGAAAAAGCGCTTATTTTGTTGTAGCTCAGTGTGAATGGGGTCTAAAGCATATCTAAACCCAGGTCAACAAAGCAATATTACTAATATAAAACTGCGACAGAAAAAAACAATGCACGGGAGTCACGGAATAAAAATGATATATTATTCTGCACAGCAAAGGTACACACATGGCTAGAACGACATGGACTGCAACAATGGGAAAATGAAAGCAGCGAGATAACGGGACAAAACAGACAAGAAATCATGCGTGTTAAATCTACATTCCATCGCTATACTAGTTTTATTTTATAGCTTCGTTTTAAAAAATGTATTTAAAGTATTATATGTTTACGCAAATAAAAACATAAATCAGGTTATGAATGATGTAATATATGCATATACTCCAATGATATTCAAACCCACTGTTTCTCAATCTATGGGTTGGGACCCGAATTGGGTTGTAGACGTGTTTGGGACTTTGTGTCCAAGTGCGAGATCATTGGTGAGAGATAGCAAACTGACTATGAATGACAGCACAGACATGTTTGGGGAGCTGGAGCATGTGCAAAGTAAGGAGAAGACATGATTGTCAGTAGAAGAGGTGAAAAGACCCAGTGCTAGTTGAAAATGTCTACTGCTATTACAGTGTGATGTCCTCCAAATCCAATCCTCCTCCCAGGGAATTTTTTCAATATCTTTAGATTCGACACTGGGTGCAGTCCTTTACATTGGGTAAGGATGTCTCTATGCCCCACACATCCTTTGCACGGATCTGTTCCAAACACCCCAATTTCCACAAACTCATCTCCCTCATATACTAACAACTGAATTTTCTAACTCCCGCAACACACAATTATGTCGAACAGTGGCACTGAGACTAACGTGGCAATAGATCCCCGGACGACTGGTCCGACATCTGGGCCACCATTGCTAGCTGCTCTGGTAACATAGTGACCCTAGGATTAGCTTATAAAAATGGTGCTTACAAAGTGGTATATGGTCCCTTCCATGATTCAGCACCTCCAGCCCATGTACCCTAGCCATTGCTTTAGAGAGTGTATGGTCGAGGGTGATGTCATGCATACCTAGTGGACTTGTCCCTTTGAGTTCACTTTTGGTCAAAATTCTACAGACTTCTATCTTCATTATTTTACATTCCTGTCCGCAGGGATCCCTGGCATGAACTGCAAAATAGACTGCTTGAACCGCCCACAAACTAAGCTGGTGGACTTTAAATTCCTGGTGGCTAAACAAACTGTAGTTCACTCTTGGAAGAAACATAATCTATATCAGGAGTTCAGGCAGTGCATGCAGGTATTTTTTTTGAATGAACAGCTTTGTAGCATTCTCACAGACTCTCATGCTAAGTTCCAAAAGATTTAGTAGCCTTGGATCTCTTTGATCCTCCCTGAGTTACGCCAATGATATTCGCCTTCCCATGATGGTTTGACTGCCTGTCCACAGGACTGCTGCTCTGCCTCCTTTTCTCTGCTCCACTATGCTTTCACCTTTCTCTCTCTACTCACCTTTCTGCTCCTATGCTTCCCTATTCATGTCCTCTTATGAGCCGTGTATTTTTTATTGCCTTGGCTTGGTTTGAATTTCTTATTTTCATCTACCTTTTTCCCTTTTGACGATTTCTCTTACGAGTGTTTTATTTTTTCTTGTTGATACCTGAGCCTAGCTGAGGGCTCTAGCCGTCTAGTAAGCTCTCAGAATTTGTCTCAGCATAATCTTGCACTCTCAGTACACTATTTTGCCATATAATAATGCCTTTCCTCTGATATTGTTGTTCATTGCAATGTCTGCTACTGTTACACCCCCTGTTGTGTGTTTGCATTTTGTAACTTATTTTATTTGAAAATGTTTAAATAAACATATTAAAACTAGAAAAAAGTCTAGTGCTAAAAAAATCAAATAAATTACAAATAAAAAAGCTAAAAACAAAGAGTTTATTTTTCTTGGGTTTAATTAAGTTTACAGAAATGGAGGAGACCACTTGTAATGTGTTCTATGTGGGGAGAGAGGTGAGCCCTGCCTGTCACAGGGCATCAGGTGAGTATATCTGCTGTACTGTATTCCGGCCCCTGGGAGGGGGAAAATAAATAAATCAATTAACTCTTGCAGTGCAGGGGTAGCCCTACTGCAAGGGTTAACTTTTTACATTCCTGGAGTTATTCTTTAAATTGAATTTTTTTTTTTTAACAACACCCACGGCCTTGAAAAAAAAAAGGCAAAGCAAAAAAAAAACCCCAATGAGTTAACCCTTGAAGGGTAAGTCATTTAAGGTAGATTCGTAGGACAGTAGCTGGAGATAGCTAGAATCTTACTACCAGTGTAAGCAATGTTGTTCTGCAGCGGTCCTCATATGCAGTCTTTTCCCTCCGCGATTTCTAATCCACGGAATGCTGCAATAATGATTGTGTGTGTTTCATTATATGGCCATTGTTGTTATTTGTCTTTCTATAACGTTGCTCACAATTTAGTATAATTCTGTTTCTGGGTCTCAGTATGGGATCAGTTTTCTTTGGGTCTATGGATGTTAAAGAACCCCTATTCTAATTAAAAGGCCGGCACCTCCAAAAATATTTTTCTTACATCATTGTATCGTCAACTATATTAAAAAGACAAAGAAGAACTTCAGGCATAATTCTTCTTAAATGTTGCAGTGGGGCTACCCTTGCATTGCAAGAGTTAAGTGCTCATTTTCATCTAGGGAAAGGTTTTGCTCACCTGCACCTCGCAGCCAGCTGGCTGTTAGACCGGTCCGTGCCACCTTGCTCCCCCCTCCGCTCCAGCGGTCTAAGGTCATCACGTTCTATACAGTGTAAAGGCCATGAGGACGCCGAGGGACATTCCATCGTTGGAGTGGAGGAGGAGGAGAGAGATGGCAGGGGCCGGAATAGCAGCCAGTAAGGTTCAGGTGAGTATAACTTTTTTTTATTTTCGTCCATAGATGAAAATGAGCACTTGATCCCTGCAGTGAGTGGGTAGACTCACTGCAAGGGTTAAGAATAATTATGCCTGGAGTTCTTCTTTAGGCACTTTATAATTTTCTTTGCTATGGCTAAAGAAAGGAAGAGCCCATGCTAAGGTGCCTATTCATTCTTTGGAATGTGGTGCACATGCAAGTACATACTCCAAGTCTGCCACATATGTCTGCCACATATTACACACATATATATAGCGCCGACACGTTATGTAGCACTTCACATACACTTCATTCATTCCACCTTATTAATACATAGAGGTCCACTAACTTAAATATGCAGCAAAATACCATACATAGGTCATGGTTTTCTTACTGTAACTTTTAGGGCTGGTACACACCACCATGTATGCGTTTTATAGAGTATGGGTGTGTCGCATCACACAGTTTACTTTTTTGGGAAAAAATGTTTTATGCACTACAGCTCAATGCCATGTGTTGATATGCGCTGCACTGTATAAAGATGCAGACATGGTGCATTTTTATGCACACTAATGTCATTTTCCATTGCAAGTGTAAATTTACAGATTGCCCTTGAGCAAGACAGTCAACTCAAGTACTATGCTTAATACGGTCCATAAATTACAGTGAAGAAACACACAAATATAAGTTGGGAGCTGATATTTTTTTCGGACTGAAAGTTAGTAAGAAGTTTAGAAAGTTAGTAAACTGTACGTTGTCCAAAAGGTAGGCAATGTTGTCAGTGTACAATAATGTAAATAAGTTTATAAATAATGAGGTCAAAAAAAGGAAACAAGATTCTAATTAGACTTACCACTTTCTCTGGAATCCTCCATGAAAGCAACAACAAGAGTGCCCCCTCCTACCTATTGGGACAGGAAGTAGATAGTTCAAAAAGCCCTCCCCTCTAATTCAGCTTGGTGTAATTTTAAAGAACAACTTCACACCCAAAACACCTATATTAGAAATGTTTCATCAGATACTACCAACGTTAACACAATTCACGGACAGTTGAACTATTTGGCATGGCATGCAAGATTAAAGACATAAAAATTCACTCTCCTGTAAGTGCCAAGACAACAAAGGTGTTCTGCATTTAGCCTATGCTTAAATATGACAAACATTTGATGTGTTTGTGTAAAGATTCCAAAATATTTCTAAACTTACAATTCTCTTAGAATGTTCTCTAAAACTATTAGAACCAAATGCTTATAGATACCCCTTACAATAAACTACTTATTGTAAGCAGGGGAGAAAATAGATGGGTGCTGCCATGGAGGATTCCTGGAAAAGGAATGATTAATAAATCTATACTTCCATTTCATAATCCCTGAAAAACAACAACAACAAGAGTAATGTTCTTCTTTCCAAATTCTTTAATGACACTGAGGAACATGGTTGAGTGCCCAGGATTACAACTGGTACTGTGTTATCAGCAAACACCACTGGCTGCTACAATATATAACTGCATGGATTCAGTCCTACTGACTGGTTATTAGTTAACATTTGCCACTGTGGAGTTTGTTAATGAACATCGTGGCTGCCATACTTAGCTGAAAAGGAACTAAAAGGAGAAGCTGGCTTGGTGTATAGTCAGGTCCAAACTACGCATATGAGAACGTACCTTAAAAGGCCAAAAGGGTCAGCAAATCCAACATGATTAATTGAAGGATGTCAGAGGTCCATGATCAGCTAAGTAATGTTACCACAGGTAGCTTTTACCAAGGAAAAGGGCTATTATAAAAAGAAACTATCTCGAGAGCAGTGGTTCTCAACCTGTGAAATCTCAAGACCCACATTTCTCCTTGGTCATTAATGCAATGGAACGCACGGCATTAGTGTACCGCGTGTTCCGGTGCAGGTGTACGAACTGCGGGTGGGAAGTGTGTTTGGGGTACCATTCAAATGAATGGCAACACAACACACCTCCAACACCAGAATGTACGATAGGTGCGATTGTGTGGTACAGTGCGTAAGCAATGCACGTATGGACGGAGCTCCCTCACGGCCATAGCCCCATTCCATCCCACCTCAAGCTGACACTCGGCGCCGGGCAACATATTTTGAATGGCTGCTTGGCGTGAGAACTGACAGTGCTGCTGCACTAGGGGGAGGCAGGGGAGCCTCTCGCCTAGAAAAGTGGAAGGCATGCAGCGACCCACTGAAAACGGGTTCGCGACCCACTTTTGGGTCACGACTCACAGGTTAAGAACCAAGGCTCTAGAGCAGGGGTGGCAAATTTCGGCCCTCCAGCTGTTGTGGAACTACAAGTCCCTTGAGGCTGTGCAAGATTCTCACAGCCACGACTTGCAGAGGCAGATGCATCATGGGATTTGTAGTTTCACCACAGCTGGAGGGCCTGAGTTTGCCACCCCTGCTCTAGAGTATACATAAGTGCAGTATGAAAAGTAGATGAAAAATACTAAATGAGAAAAGTTCCTCTAGATTTTTTTTTTTTAAAAAGGACAAATAGTTTGCAAAAGCTGGTTCAAGAAAAAGTGAGCGATTATTGTATATAGACACAGGGATCAAACAATAAGAGAGCCAAGAAACACCTCTAGAATTGACAAAACCTCTCACTGTATTTGGCAGTGTAATGCTTTATTAATGCTGTGCCTATGCTTGCTGAAGGTGCAGCCCTAAGAAAGACTTACTGTTCTTGTTAGTGTTAGAAAGAAGAAGACAGAGATATGTGGAAAAAGAAGGTATAGCAACATACAGTATATTGTAGCAGTCTTTAAAAGAATATCTCAAATTGTTTTTAAAAAATAAGGTGTATATGTGTTAATGAAAAGGTATATTTTGTGTCTTTGTGACCATGGCTTCAGGTTTTTTCTATTTTCATTTTTAGCACCACACTATTTCAGCATTTTATTAACAAAGGGGTATAAAGTCAAACTATTAAGTGGGAGTGATCAGCAGCTGAAAGATGATGTGCCATTTTACTTTAATGGAGAACTATGGGGTCAGTGTTTTTCCCCATAGTTCTCCTTAGGGTAACGGGAGGACACAAACTAGCACCCTCCCGTTACCCTAAGCTCAGTATACCGCGAGCTACAGCTCGCGGTATACTGAGACGCCGCAGCCGGAGCGGATCCCAACCTCGAGATCCGCCCAGCTGCGTGAGTGACAGCTAGCTCTGCCTATCAGTCAGCGCTGGCAGATCGGAGTAGGGGAATCCAGCCCCTCCCCCTGTCACGGCAGAGAGCCGTGACAGGATCGAGAGGTGAGCGAACCCGGTATGTGTTCGCTCACCTCTCAATCTACTGAGCCGACCTGGGACAGTCTCATTGTCACAGGTCGGCTAGAACTATGAGGTGAGTGGAAATCACTCATCTCATAGTTCTCCTTTAAGCTTAATGTTGATAGCAACTCCTGAACACAGCCACACTGCTCCAGGGGTCTAAACTTCTCTTGTTTCTGGGAGTTCAAGCACAATAGCCACTACTAAACAGGATGCTTCAGTGGCCAATAGAAATGTGCACCACTGAATAGGAGAGTTTGGAAGGAAGGGGGTTGGAGGGTGCCAGAGATCCCAGAACTCAGGAATAAATAGACTCCTGGTAGACATGCTTTCTCCAACTACTCAATGAAACACCCCAGCAGTCAACAGAGAGGCCCTTCATGAAGTAGTGGATTGATGGGATGCACGAAAGCTCTAAGAAGTCAGAAGTTGAGTGCCTGGTTGCAAATTGGGACTGAATGTAGGAGATCCCAGAGTGCAAAAAAATAAATACAATTTGGGAGGAAAAATAAAAACATACAGGGCTCTTTTAATTTGGTTACTAGATATCTTCCAGAATTTCACTTTAAAGACTCTCCTCAGCTTCTGGAGAATCAAAGTGTCAACTCTCAAAAACTGATATTTCAGTTTTTGGTAGATGCTGGACAGCTATACCACTTTTCACCTCCTTTCCATAATATGAAGAGTGCAGCAGGATGCAAGAAATGCCACAAAGCCGGTCAGGAAGACCCAAAACTCCAAAGTGAAAAGGAGCAAAATTGGGAATTATGGTAGGGAGATCTCATTGTTGGAAGAGTAGTGACATAAGAAATTAGAGACCGATTCCGACCATTAGGCTTTACCTAGAACTAAAATCACCTTTCGGTGGAATAACTTTCATGCACGTAATATGGAATTACCATGCAAGCAAATGTAAGGTCTCTTACAAAATAGAAAAGGCATGGCTAAGTTCTGGAGCATATTAGGTCTTATTTGTTTATTAGAGTCTAAAAATCACACCCCCGTTTTTCATTTGCGTTCTCTAATGTAGGTTTCATGAATTTGTCATTGCACCCTGAACTTAATATCCACCAAAAATAACGAACTTTGTTTTGTGTGAATGGTGAGGCAGTAAACTGTGTGTATAGGAATATCTGCTTCTACGTCTTTACTGACTAGTAATAACAAGTTCCACTACTCATGCCCTCTCCAAACTTTCCTTTGTTTTCTGTCTTAGTGCTGTGATTCTACATCGAGGTCACCAGGGTACACAAATAATTCTGACGTGCAGTAACAGCACAAACAGCTAAGAGAGAAGACAGCGGAAGGAACTCCCCAGAACTAGAGCTAAAAAAATGTGGGCTGCAAATTTAAGTACACTTAATACGTAAACTTTTATTCACAACTTTCTTCATGACCCTCTAGCCAGAGCACAATTAATATTATGGAGAGGAGCTTTTTAACTTGCATATTATCAAATTAAGGATATAAGGTGTACCTTGTTGTAGGACAAGGATTTTGCAGACTAAAGCTGGCCATACACCTATAGATTATCTGCAGATTTTCTGTGGTCAGTTGGAAAAAATGCAGCAGATTCCTCCAACTACACTAAAGTCTGTGGATGGAGGAATCTCCCACTGGGCCAAGCTTCAGTATCTTGCTAGTTGGCCCCGCTGGCTCTCAAAATACCTCAACAACCTGATTGGATGCAGGCATTGCTCGGGTATACCTAAATGTTGTATTAGTTTATAGTGAAAGTTTAGATATTTTCTTCTTTCGTTTAAGAAAATGTATTGACAGTTCTGAGGCCTGGGACTACAGTGCTTTTTCATCCTTACCACATGTCAACCTCTTCCTGCATGCGTAATGCACATATGCAGCAGCATGGCAGTTGGGCCTCAACACCAGGCTGCCACATACATTCATCCCATGGGGTTCAACTGTTGTGTACTGAGAGTGCACTCAACGTGTGCTCCCGAAGTGTCACAGACAGCTCCTGGTAACTGTAAAAATTCAGGAGCTGGCAGGTCTGGTCCCGACCATATGACTGCTGTGAAAGCCAAATCACAGCGTCTTATGATCAGGACTCCACCTCCTGATGTTAAGACTCAGGTAAAGGGCTGGCAGGAGGTGGCAGCAAGGGGTTGAAGCTGCATAAGACTAAAACTCGCTGAACAGGATGATACATTTGGGGGTGATAGTATTTAATTTAAAAAGGAGAACTATGAGGCAAGTGCTTTTCACTCACCTCATAGTTCTAGCCGACCTGTGACAATGAGACTGTCACAGGTCGTCTCAGTAGATCGGGAAGTGAGCGAACACATACCGGCGTTCGCTCACTTCTCGATCCTGTCAAAGCTCTCTGCCTTGACAGCGGAGGGACTGGATTCCCCCCTCCGATCCTCCAGCGCTGACTGGCGGAACGGACGGTGGAGGGTACAGCTGGCTCTGCCTCTAGATAGGCAGAGCCAGCTGTCACTCACGCAGCTGGGCGGATCCAGACATAATTGTCGGGATCCGCTTCAGCTGCGGCGTCTCAGTATACCGCAAGCTACAGCTCGCGGTATCCTGAGCTTAGGGTGACGGGAGGATGCTAGTTTGTGTCCCCCCGTTACCCTAAGGAGAACTATGGGGAAAAGCCCTAACCCCATAGTTTTCCTTTAAATAAAAAAAGGTTACTTGGAAATATTTTGAGGAAGGGGAATGGGATTTGTTGTTTTTTAATGGCAGAACTCCCCCAAATCTCTCAAAGAAATATGCATACACAACAGCTTTTAGTGCTGACTTTCAGTATCCCACTAACTCCTATTTCCTGAACTTTTATAACAAGGGAAGAAATACATAATGCATATTTGCTACAAAACACAAAGAATGCATTTCGTGTCATTTGGTAGTTTTAAAATCCTTTTAAGTTATATCTGCTGCACATATGATTCCTACCGTCAGTTTGGGCATTCTACTCTCTTAGAGACTGGCCTAAAATGCTGGTGTCATTAAATACCACACTTAGTACTGAGAACAACATGATATTGTTACTGCCAATAGGACCCTGGAAGATTCAGAAGGTAATTCAAGCAAAAAAGTCAGTAATAATCCAGCAATAAAAACAGCTCCTGGCCTGCATCTGCTATTTTTGTGTAAATGCACATTTTAGTGAAAGAGGAGTTGTGACACATCAGTTTTGGCTCTACATCTGAAGACAACCAGAGACACCCCCCCTTTATAGGTAGTATGGATACTAGCCATCCTAAACTGTGTTATCTGATCTAAAAGTGGTCACAGGAAGAAGCTCTGAACTACAAAACAATCAGCAATGATCTTTCCATTTCAAACTGCAACTAGCTAAGATTTTCTGTTACTAACAAAAAATATCTACACCATGAAACTTATATAAGCAACCAGCAGGAGACTGTTTAACAAAGCTGAACTGTGTGTCCTGACTGGCATTGTCATTCAATTTGTCAAATTCTAATAGTAACATCTGGTTTAAGTTTAAAGGAGAACTATGGGGTAAGTGTTTTTCCCCATAGCTCTGATCTCTTCTTCAGTCATCACATATGTGTGCATCAGAGTTGCATTTAACTAGTTGCAGTTAAAAGTATCGTGAATGTTTTTTTTGTTCCCAATAAACAATTAAACAATTTGTTCTCAATAAACAATTAAACTATTTTTTTTAATTTATATTTTTTTGAAGCTTTACGTGAACTAATGATAAAGAAATCCCGAGGACAAAGATAATTTAATGTTGAAGTGTAAGCCAACAAGTAGATTTACAGTTAAAATACACAAGTGTGAACTGTTTTACCTGCCACAAAATGTGTAATACCGTTGTAATCCAAACACCCCAAGTGCTGACTCACTTTTGTCTCCTGCAGTGAAAGCAATACAACTTGGCCAATGACTGACCCGGCTTATATATTTAGCGAAGAAGCAGCAACACACTGGTGAAGTCCACTCTAAGCTTTCCCGTCCCACTAGGCCTTTGTGCAATTTAGAAAAGCCTAATTGGATTACAATGCTGCCGCTTCCTCTAGTCCAGTGATGGCGAACCTTGGCACTCCAGCTGTTTTGGAAGTACAAGTCCCGTGAGGCATTGCAAGGCTCTGACAGCCACAGACATAACTCCCAGAGGCAGATGCATCTTGGGATTTGTAGTTTTGGCACAGCTGGAGTGCCAAGGTTCGCTACCAGTCTAGTCTGAATTGTGCAGTGTTTTTTACATACATACATACATCACAATACAATTCAAGACAAGATGGTAAGGACATAGATATATATATATAGATATAGATAGATATCTATCTACAGGTAGAGATATATATCTATATATATCTAGATCTATATCTATATATCTATCTATACACACACACACACACACTCTTAATCAAATGGGTGACTTGCACGCAGGATTACAGCGCCAGCAAAGGCTTCACGTATGCATATCAAGCAGCCTTCAAATCTTACCGCTTTATCAAAATACTGAGAAAAGGGAATGTGATACCAGATTACTTGCATATAAAATGTGATCCCTCTTCCATGAGGCAAACACAAAGGCAAACATGCCAGTACGAAAGTACAACTACGAACAAAACAAAATAATCCCCTCTAATATCATACATTCAAAACCCTGCCAAACTATATATATGAAATGTTTCTCAAGCACAAAACCAGAAGCAATAAAAGAAGCAGGGGGGATTTTGTTTTGCACGTAGTTGTGTGGTACATAGGGGTTAATATGGTAATGAGAGTAGGTACGGTATATACAAGCTATTTAGAGACGACGTGTTTCCTCTCTTCATAATATTTCTTGATAGTGATCACCTGTCTAGAATAAAATTGAACATGAGAAAGGGCGGGGACACCTGAAACTGTTAATCCTGCAAGTATGTCTTTTTGTGCCTCATGGAAGAAGAATTAAATATATGCAAATAATCCATAATCACTTTTTTCATACACACACGATTTTTTCTTTTACTAAATACATAACGGAGTTAAACTGCTGTGTATATCTTATATTGACATACACTACTACTACTACAATAATAAACAAATGTTTAAAAGCTCCTAAATCTCACCATCGTTACCATCTGTGTCTGTTATATCTTGCATCTCCTCGTCTTCATCTTCTTCATCATCTTCTTCTTCACCACCACCACCACCTGCCTGTTCTTTTGCTATTAACTGCCTGCCCAGCTTTATATTCATGCCTTCGTTGTAGTGGTGCTTTCTTTTCATTTCAAACTCCTTTTTCTTTTCTGAGGTTAACAATACAAGATTCTAAATGAGTTTATGGAACAGTAAAATGGAAAAATATGAGCTAAGGTGTTACAGTAAATATTTGACTCTCAGAGGAGCGAAGTAAACAAGATGATGGGTTACAAAGCATGGTAAAGAAAACCTTCAATGATAGAAATCCATAGTCTGCACCACTAACCTCCTCTAATGTTAATATTTCCCCAATTCACTGAGCCAGGATAAGTACAAAGGAAGTCATTATATGTGTGTTTGGTTAAAGTACTAAAGCTAAAGGATCAGTATAACCAGCAGGACACACACATTTTTCAGAATGGGGCCAACACTCACTTTATTTCTTCCATGACAGGTCACTTTCAATCTAAACATATGGTGGATATATGAAGTAGGTAACCTGAAATAGGTAGGTGAGAGCAGACACCTTAAGGTGCTTGCATATACTATGCTTATCCTTCTGAGTAACTCAAGAGCCTAAAGTACTTCATTTTCACAAAGCAGCCCCCAATCTAGAAGTCAGAGCCCCCCTCACATCTCTGCAGGTGCCTTGTTTGTTAGTCAGGCTTCCAATATTGTACATCCCTGATTGATTATACCAGACCTTCAACTCTGGTGCTGAAAATGGCATTTAGACCACCCTGAGGTTGGGGGACTGACCAAAAGAAAATAAAAAGATCTGATAACAGCCGATAGGGAAATGAGTGATGATAATGTATCCAGGCAGACTGGAAACAGATACAGATTACAGATCAGACTTATGAAGGTAAACTGAAGTTTTTCAGCTGCTGTCAAGGATTTGCTGGATTTAGAGATGGAGCAATAAAAAACCTTCAGCAGTAAGCATTTAAAATCTTATTTCCTTTCAGACCATGCTTTGCTACCTTGCCTTTCTTATGCCGGTTCTCATAAACCTTATACCGTATATACTCGAGTATAAGCCGTCCCGAATATAAGCCGAGGTACCTAATTTTACCAAAAAAAAAAACTGGGAAAAAGTATTGACCCGAATATAAGCCGAGGGTGGGAAAGAGGCAGCGAATGGTAGATAGATACCAATAAAATTACATTAATATTTATTTAAAAGAAAAATAACAAGTATGAGCCGGTTTGCCCCAGATTGGTGTCTATCCTGAATGCCACCATTTTGGGGCAAGATTTCTGCGGCACCCTGAGGGTCTGATCCATTACATTGTTTATGTACTGTATTCGCAGCATAGATTAAGCGGGCCTCATACCTGGGGGTTCTGCCGTTCAACGGTCTGTTACAACGCTTGTACCTATTATGCGCTTTACTGCTGTAGTACAGTGGCTATATTCTTTGAATGCTATACTTTGTGTATGTTTGCTTGTAAATAATTCTCAATAAAGACTTATTGAACTAAAATCTAATTTCCATTTTTATAGTTTATTCTCACCACAGGTTAATGCTAAAGCTCTGTAATGCCCCGTTTGTGGACTGTGGTCATACTAAATACCCTCCATCCTCCTCCGTAGGTTTATGTTTGCATGATGACTGGCAAGGCTATCCATTGAAATAAATATCAGTACCTCTTTCCTCTGGTGTCAGCTCCTCCTCCTCCTCTTCCTCACTGCTCTCTTCTTCAGCCAGGAATTTTGGATCCATTCCTTCTGCGGCAGCAAGCCTAAAGACACAGCAGGCTTTCAAAAATATGACCATGCTTTCTATATTTAACCTCACTCATCATGTCAACAGACATGTTAAAAGCCATCAGGCTGAGCTCCAGGAAAACATCTTTATACACTAAAATACATATAAGTACTTTGACAGGTGAAACAATACATATATAATTGTGTTTAGCAGAGTTAGGCCAAATACCTTTCCCCTTTCACAGGTTGGTAAGCTGCACCTGGCATAGATACTAGGGAGTGAGCTGTGTATTCTGGGGTGCAGATCTCACTAAGGGCATAAATACTAAAGAGTGAGGTGTCTGCTGGACTGCAGACTGTAGGGGTGACATGTATACTAGTGAATGAGCTGTGAGTACTGGATGGCAGATTTTTGGTAACATAAAAACAAGGGAGTGCACACTGGGGGGCAGATCTTACTGGTGACACTGACACTAGGAGTTGAATTGTGTGTAGTGACTACAGATCTACCTGATGACATGTATACTATAGCAAGTGTGCTGTGTGTACTGGGAGGGGTCCGGACCTCGCTGGTAACATTAACACTAGGGTATGAGGTGTGTGTATTGACTACAGAGTGTGCTTTGTGTACTGGAGGGCAGCTCTCACTGGTGAAACTGACACAAAGATGTGAGGTGTGTACGGACTACAGATCTACCTGATGACATATATACTAACAAGTGTACTGTGTGTAATGGGGGCAAAACTCGCTAGTAACTGATACTAGGGCATGAGGTGCGTGTACTGACTACAGATCTACCCGATGACACACATGCTGTGTGTACTGGGGGGCAGACCTCACTGGTAAGGTTAACACTAGGGTATGAGGTGTGTGTATTGACTATAGAGAGTGTGCTGTGTGTACTGTGGGGCAAAAATCAATGGTAACTTGAACACAAAGAAACAAGCTGTTTATACTGGAGGGCAGATCTCTGATATGTATACTAGCAAGTGTGCTGTGTGTTCTCGGATAGCAGATCTCATAGGTGACATGAATACTGGCGCATGAGCTGTGTGTACTGGGGGCAGATCTCCCTGATGACATACTGTAGATACCTGGGAGGGAGCTTTGTGTACTAGGGAGCAGATCTCATAGGTGACATGAATACTGGCGCATGAGCTGTGTGTACTGGGGGCAGATCTCCCTGATGACATACTGTAGATACCTGGGAGGGAGCTTTGTGTACTAGGGAGCAGATCTCATAGGTGACATGAATACTGGCGCATGAGCTGTGTGTACTGGGGGCAGATCTCCCTGATGACATACTGTAGATACCTGGGAGGGAGCTTTGTGTACTAGGGAGCAGATCTCATAGGTGACATGAATACTGGCGCGTGAGCTGTGTGTACTGGGGGCAGATCTCCTTGATGACATACTGTAGATACTGGGGAGTGAGCTTTGTGTACTAGGGAGCAGATCTCCTTAAAAACATGGATAACGGTGAGTAAACAGTGTATACTGGAGTGTAGACCTTGCTGGTGACATGGATCCTGAAAAGTGAGCTGCATGTGGTGCAGTTGGGATATCACTGGGGAGTGGGCATGTGTGTATGGGGTCAGATATTGGAACAGACAAGTGTGTGGTGAGGGTGCTAACTTAACGGTAGAGCATTTTGCAGCTAAATTTACTACAGGAGGAAGAATTTCTTCAGCAGTTAAACAGGATGTTTCAATCTCCTGATTCCCCTTTAATATCATATAGGAATAGAGAGGATTTTCTTTTTTAGGCTCTTTAATTCCTGTTACCGCTGCTCCTAATACCGTTTCTGCTGCTCTGTGAACAGCAGTTATTTCTATAAAAATGGTGCCATTTGTACTTTACTTCAGTGATGTACAAGCTCAACTTGACTGCTTAATGAAATTGCAAATACTATGCAATACTATGGTATCACATTCTGCCTTCAATAAGCATCTGGACTATGCATACATGAGATAAAATGAAGACATAGTTGGGAATTTATTTGGACGGACCACACAGACTGGTATAAAGTGAAACTCTTGGAACAGTGTCAGAATTAAGCATACACAAAATTAAAGCCTGGTTTAAAAGCAATATGCTTCATCAATCAAGAGTCACTACACAGACTACAATTCACATTAGTGGTCTGACCTTAACCAACAATTCTTACTTCTGTGCCAAGATATCAGCTGTCAGCGCTTCATTTGACTCTGAATCACTCATGGCTCCTTCATCATCATCACCATCTCCAACCATTCTGTGAAGGAAAGATATATACTGCTGTCACTTCAGAATTAGATGTTATCCAAAATCATTCTATCTGGTAAGCAAATCTGCCCAGGCCTTAAGTATAAAAACTAAAATGGAAACAATATGGAGTGGATGCCTGTAGCAACCATGCATATATTTCCACTGACAATATAAACACGATGGCTACCAGCTTTTCTGTAATTGGTTGCTAGAGGTGACACCACCTTTTGATTTGCTTTACCTTTCACTATGGGGTCCAGTTATCACTCCTTCGACAGACACAGCATTTACTCCACAGTGAGCTCTGAGTTTTACAGAGCGGAGTCTGTCCCATTGATTCTTCTCTACTTTTCACTGCAAGGAATACACAGATACCGGTGGACAGGGGTTTTTTCCCCGCTCCCATTCATTTGAAATGGGGCTTCCCTTGCTTTAAAATCCCAAAGAAATTGAAGCACCAAGCATTTGTAAAGCTTATCACTGAGCTTTTTATATGTGCCCTTTATGGGCTCTATAAGGCCATACTTCTACTTTAAATACGGCCCCCTAAAAGAATCCAGTTATACTTTGTAATAGGTGACATTACATGTTAGCTTCTATCTTAACCTTTGAAAAGAAACAAACACTATTTAAACAAAGAGTATAGGCGTGTGCCCTTATCACCCCTTGCTAGATCACCAGGAGAGAATAGTACACCTTTCCTATATTGCTGATCTCACGAGAGGGGGAAATCTTTGGAAACCTGCATGAAGCTAAAAGGTTTAGCTATAGTACTTCTGGTGTTTTAAAGGGGGCCTGTACTATGAGAAATGCATGGTCCCTGTTTTTTTTTACAAAGTAGCCACCACTCCAAGCTTTCTCCTCGTTTAGTTCACTAATTTGTATTGAGATTGTAGTGCATCACAGGAGCGAGCTTGGAGCGGTGGCTACTTTACAACACACACATGGACCATGGGGAACAAAAGTAGCCACCCTCCAGAAAGGACAGTGTCAGCACCAATTCAGAGATGATTGGAGGATCTACAGCCGAGTGATACACAAATAAGATACATTTTTGTTAATGGTTTAGGTGCTTGAGGATGTGTGTGATGATTCAAGTGCATTTATTGCGCACTTTATATCTATTATTATTTCTACATTGTAATATATAATGAAATAATTATACAACTCACCATAATGCAGAATTAGTGGGAGCTCTGAGCTTGTTTTCCTGTTCTCAGGTGGCCAGTGCAGGCTCTCACCAGGGGTCCAGAGTGTCTCACTGGTGGATGTGGAAACAGCAGATGCAGCTCTCTAATCAGGTGCCACTCGCTCCTCACTAGGGCCCCAAGAGACCCCAGCGAACAGCCTTCTAATACGCCTGATTAGAGGGCTGCCTCTGCCAGATTGTAGCCGGCCCAGATTGCCATCAGGCATACCAAGGTGATCAGGGTAGTCCGGCCTATTTTCAGGGATGGGCCTGGAATGGGAGCTGCGGCCCAGTTCCTAACAGGCCACAGACCGGTCTGTAGCCCGTGGGTTGGTGAACCCTGCCTTAGTACACATTTTTATTAAGTAACAACATCAGTTTACTATTTTGCAGGAGGTTTTATATTCATTTATCTAAAATCATGCTTCATAGATATTTCCTACATCCTTACCTGTGGTAGGGTGTGCTGGGCTCATCTATTTTCATTAATCCATAGTCTTTGTCAGAAGGGTGGTATGTTGCCAGAATATTCATTTCATCCCACTTCTGGGACTTTTTACTAAAAAGGAACATAAAAAAACTTTAATTCAAAATATTGCCACAAATAAAACAATTCCGCTTCACTTTGACTTGTGATAGATTACATAAGAACAACTGCCAGAAGTCTCCCAACAACCAGCGTGCCTTTCAGAAGAACATGTCATGTTGCCTCATATCCATCATATTATATTAGGCTAGCATACATGATAATAGGCTCTGGGGGCTGAATGAGTAATTCAAGTTTTTCAAGCACATAAACACTAGGACAAAGGACATATTAAAATGCATAGGAATGGAGCAGGTAGACCAGCCATTAAGAGAACCAGTAATGATTGGACTAATGTAAGAATCTGAACAGTGTTAAATATAAGCAGGCCTTTCTAGAAAATAAATGTATAATGCTTTCCTATCTTAGTTTGCCTGATGACAACTCTTGGAGCCAAGAGTCAGATGTGAGAGCCCCCCTAAAGCCTGACAACGCTGCTCCATCAACTACCGGAACTCATGCAGATAATACAAGCTGTCTTTATAGTGCAACATAACAATATTAACATTGAACGCAGCAATTGTTTACATACCTTAACTTCACGGCTCTGTTATATAATAATGATGAGAAGGAGACAGCATGCAATATCAGTATGATGGGAGATAGGTGACAGAGGAGTAACTGTCAGACTTCAACTGATCTCTCACCTATAACTACCAAGGCCTAGTCATCCTCAGATAAGAGCAAGCTAATGAACAGGAGTAAAACAATTTCATAGGTAAGATGGCACATTTATGATCATTTTAGATCAGGGCTAGACAAATTGCAAGGAGACAGGCAGCAAATGCTCCTTGAAAATAACAGCTGGCGTACAACTTTTGAGGTTTTCTCTAGTTGTCGTCAATGGATCTGGCTCTTGGACTGGACAGACTGACTACCGGATTCCATACTGATTTGTCTACCCCTGTTTTAGATTGAATATCCAGTTTAATTTATGAGCCAAGTTTTGATTGGTTCAAGTTAAATACATTCCTGTAAGCATAAGAAAACACCACAGGTCCTCATGTTCTGGCCAATGTGGGCACTATTCTCATCCCCACCTTTTAATTTAGCACTATTCCTTTCCTCGCCAGGCCCCGAGATGCAGCCAGCTTTCTGGTTTTCACCCCTGCACACCAACTGTGCCGTACTATTGGCTAGTGTGGCTGCCAATCACAGAAAAGAATCAACCGTGTGGATCACGAGGCAATCAAAGCTGGGAAACTACCAGAGGTGGTTGCCATTTATATATCAAAGCAGTCTGGTCCTCAGTAAAGAAGCAGACCAAATGTGAGAACACAGGTGGCATTTTGATATGTTTTCTGTAGCCACAAGTATCATTTATTAAGATGCATATAAATAAAATGCCTATTTCCTGTCTAAAGTATTGTCAACAGATGCCACTGTCAAGAAAACAAAAAGCAAAACAAAAGCAATAAGCCATAAGGACATTCTGCGTGTATTATAGTTCATTATACAAAGCAGTTTAAAAGAGGGTTTTAATGATGTTCGTAAGGTGAATTATTTATGCCCAAAATCAACTGATCTAATGGAAACGTGTACCCCACAAATGTAGTATACCACACACACAATGTCCATCCGGGAAAAAGTGTATTATTTCAGAAACAGCACAATGTATCCAGATCACTGCTGGTTGCTAGTTTCATTTGCACCAAACACTACACCCAGTGCTCTTTTATTGCTGCGACTGGGAGTTCCACCTTTCATGCAGTGTGGGGGATTGTGTCATGTAGCCACCTCATTCTCTCCCTTCATGTATGCACAAAAATCCTTGTATTATTCTCACTGAAAGCAAGGTGTTCTGTGAGTGGACGGGGAAAAAAGGAGCGAGTAAGTGCTGTTATAGCCAAGGTCACCCCTTGTCCAATCACAGAATACTTTGATTCAGTAAAAAAGACACGGCTTTCTGAAAATGGATGAGAGCAGAAGAGGGGCTATACCACACGATGCCCACCATAATCTGGCCTTAAACTCTGGCATTACTGTTGCCAGAGTTTACCCCAACAGGTACCACATTCAACCAAAACAGCGACCCCAACAGGTACCACACTCAACCAAAACAGCGACCCCAACAGGTACCACACTCAACCAAAACAGCGACCCCAACAGGTACCACACTCAACCACAACAGCGACCCCGCCAGGTGCCACACTCAACCACAACAGCGACCCCGCCAGGTGCCACACTCAACCACAACAGCGACCCCGCCAGGTGCCACACTCAACCACAACAGCAACCCCGCCAGGTACCACATTCAACCAAAACAGCTACCCCAACAGGTACCACATTCAACCAAAACAGCTACCCGATTCAACCAAAACAGCTACCCCAACAGGTACCACATTCAACCAAAACAGCTACCCGATTCAACCAAAACAGCTACCCCAACAGGTACCACATTCAACCAAAACAGCTACCCGATTCAACCAAAACAGCTACCCCAACAGGTACCACATTCCAACAGTAACCCCCAACAGATATCAGATTTCACTAACCCCCCAAAAGATATCAGGTTTCACTAACGGTGACCCCAACAGGTACCACATTCCACTAACAGTGACCCCAGCAGGAAGCACATTCCTCTGGCAATGATATCCCGGAGTTATGGGGTTGTGCGCAGTAAGGACTTTCCGGGGTAGTGTGTCCCCATGTCAGTGTAAGACCCCTCCCACCTCGGATCGTCCTCTCTGTCCTGCGCCAGCTCATCCTTGGTGAGCACAAACACGTCGCTCTTCTGGGAGCTGTTATTCTTCAGGATGCCTTTGATCGGCCTATGTGTCTGCGCATCCATACTGCCTATCCGGGCTTTCACCGGCACTCTGCTTGAGCCGCCTTCACTCCCTGTCACCGCCCACTACGTCATCAGCGGTAATCTTTACGTCACATCCGGCATGACAGCGGGCTGCCGAAAGACGGTGCGACAACTTCCTATGCTGAGCCGTTACCATGGAGACCGTAACGCTGCTGGCGAAGGTAGCGTGCGTTTGGGTCTCCTGTATGAACTCTTGGGTTGGGGCTGATCCCTAAAACTTGTGGGACAACCAGGAAACCAAACCTACTGTGTTAGTGCTAGGGATAGACTGCATTGCTTTCCTTTCTGCTTGAAGCTAGAAAAAACGGGGCATACTAAAAGGAATGACAGAATGGAATGCCCATAGACTTTGACAGGGTAAGGGAATGCCCATAGACTATAATGAAACCAAACGGAATGCCCATAGAGTATAATGGGAAGCAGAATATCGGATAATTTGTAGGCAAATCTGAAAAAGATATCAAGTTAACCTTTACCACAATTATTTGACTTAACAAATAAATAATTAGAAGACATACTCTGGTTTATGGGCTCATATGTACTTAAGGAGAGAAGATTTTAATTGTTTGAAATAGACTTTGACAGGGTAAGGGAATGCCCATAGACTATAATGAAACCAAAGCTTGAGGTTAGGTGGGTATATAATTGTTTTCTAGAGGGAATGACATTATGAAACTATGAAATGCCCCTAGGCTATAATGCCCCGTTCCCACTTCGCGATATGCAAATCGTGCGTTTGTCGCGAGATTTGCATATTGCGCGACATCGCGAGATTTGCCGCGCGATGTCGCTTTCAAGCTTGCATTGCGCAAGCTTGAATCGCGGCTAAATCCGCTTCAAAAAGGGTCCTGCTGTAGCGACACACGACCCGCGACAGCAGGACCCTTTGCCCCATTGGATTGCATTGGAGCGCGATATAGCGCGGTAATTTGCCGCGATATCGCGGGAATTACCGCGCGATAAATCGCTCAAGGAGCTCGGGACCAGCTTGACAGCGGGAGGGGGGGAGACGGGGAGGGCGCAATTCACGGGACCTCATACAAGCGATCCGCCGGGTCTATAGCTTATATGTTAATAGGCATCGCTGCCTGTTTTCAAATAATGGGCATTTCCCGCTCGTGAGCGCCCAGCGGTGCGCGCGAGGGGGCGTGGCTGAGCGGACGTCTAAAGACGCCCGCTTTGATCTAGAGAGCTCCTGGCCGGCCGTTTTTTTACAACGGCCGGGAAGTGATTAAAATCAAGGGGGGGGGCCGCACTGCGCCCTTGTTGCGGCAGATGTACTGTTCAACACAGCAGCATGTTTCAAAATTCAGATTAGCAGGGATTATTATTGTTTTCTTGCGGAAAGGCAAGCGTGGTGACACAATGGAATGCCCATAAAGTATAAGGGAAAATAAAAAATGAACTCATTTCCAGGCAAATGTGTATGGCGGAGAAAATTAACCTTTATTTGCAGATGTTCCCCAAGTGCATTATCAAGTGCTAAGATTGAAATTGCCTGACAGCATAGTTTTCTTCTAGGGAATAACATGAGTTAAAGGGGTTCTAAACCTCTTGCATCTTGCCCCAAGCATCTTGGGGCGGGCGCATGCCAGGTCGGAGCAGCAGCAGGACCCTTTATTCTGAGCACTGGTGAGATAGGTAATACGTTGGGAGCTTTGACGCTATTTGTAACAGGCAAGATGCATGATACCATTGGCAACATTTGCAACATAAAACCATGCAGTCGGTGGGGGTGAATGACCCAGGGCAGGTATTCTGCCCACACGTGGATCATCTGCTGCTGTCCCTATCTAGAAGGGATGAAACGTAGGTAGACAGTGGCTCCTCGATTACAGCGGTTTTCATGTTCGCCCCTCTGAGGAAGCCCCATGTGTTTGGGGGGAAACGCGTTAGGGATAGCATGTTCTCAGACCTCCCTGGATACCCGAGATTTACCATACACGCGCTGTCGGGTGAATGAAGGAACTCTGTTGCTTGACAGGACTAAGCGAAATCTGTTAGGGCACTATCGTATCACAGCAGCAGTAAGATCTGTATGATTCTGCACCGAGATCGAGAAAAACCTGTCGGCTCATGCTGCCTAAACCTATATGGTCTTCCGTATTAGTGTGCCTTGGAACACATCACCTCCGGGATTCTGCCTTGTTCCATCTCACTGTGCGGCCGCACTTGCTGGGGAAACTCCCTGATTCCTTTGCGGATCAGTAAATGTTTGAACCCCGCGGGCCATTGTCAGTACAAATGAGCTGGGGGAGAGACGCTCAATGAGCCTTGGATCCATAACTTGATGATCTTGTGGATTTACAAAACAAAATAAAGACACGTTTCATTGAAACAGTTCATCCACTTCCAATACGGAACCATACAAGGACTGCTCCTCATTTGAGCCACACATAAAGTGAGTAATCTCCGATACGTTTGTATCTATTTTTGAATCACAGCACTTGGGCCTGCATCAGTGACTATCTGCCACTTAGGTGGTTCACAGAGCATCACCAGCATTACTACAAATTGGGTTATCCAGGGGAAGTCATTCTTTCGTTTTAAATGTTTTTAGATGTCTTGTAATAGGTGAATTAATGTTTTTCTATCCATTAAATGTTGCTTTATATATTACTATTTACTAACTGTGTTACTTGGTTACTAGACAGCTCCATGAAAGGGATTTCCTTGTTTAGGGGATACATAGTTTTCGGTTTTCATGTTCATTTGTTTAAAACGGAAAATGTATTCATACTTACCGTAATTTTCTTTTCCTGGTTATATTCCATGGCAGCGCTGACAATTGGGTTATACTCCTTCTACCCCTAGTTGACAGGAACAAAAAGGGTTAACATGTACTAACCTCAGCCCATATAAGCCCCTCCTATTCCATAGTACTCCAGTCTAAGTACCAAGCCAAGTGTACCATCAGGTGGGAGCTCAGCGCTGCCATGGAATATAACCAGGAAAAGAAAATTACGGTAAGTATGAATAAATTTTCAGTTTTCCTGGCCATATCCATTGCAGCGCTGACAATTGGGGACTCCCCAAGCAGAAATCAGGGTGGGAACAAAAACCATAGACACAAAACTGTATGCTGCAAAATATTTAATGATTGACTTGATGGCGAGAAAGTAACACACTCCTGCCAAATTGGTCATTAAACGCGGCTCTAACATCCAATCTGTAATGTTTAATAAACGTAGATTTGGAAGCCCAAGTAGCCCTGCAGATCTGGTCTGAAGAAACACCTGCCGCTGCGGCCCATGAAGAGGACATAGCCCGAGTGGAGTGAGCCCTGATACCTTCTGGCGGAGACAGTCCTGCTGATCGGTAGGCGTTAACAATAGTAGACACAATCCACTTGCTCAGAGTAGGCTTGGTTGCCGCCAGCCCCTTCCTTGCTCCTGCAGGGATAATAAACAATCGGTCGGATTTACGCCATTCCTTACACCGGTCCACATATACTCGGAGACATCTCACCACGTCCAGACAGCTGTCCTTGCCCTGTGAATTGAGAGCCGGCAACACGATATCCTGATTCATGTGGAAACTGGAATGTACTTTTGGCAAAAATTCCGGAATGGTTCTCAGAATCACCCTATCTTCCTGGAAGACGAGAAAAGGATGTTTACAGCTGCATGCGTGGAGCTCCGATACTCTCCTACCGGAGGCCAAGGCTACCAAAGACACCGTCTTGTAAGAGAGGAACTGAAACAAAACTTTGTCTAATGGCTCAAAGGGAGGACCTGAAAGTACACCTAACACAAGAGGAAGATCCCAGGATGGAGAGAGAGACCTCCGTGGAGGGTTAACCTTCCCCACCACCTTCAGGAACCTGGCAATATTCTGATCTTGAGACCATCTGATACCAGTGATTGCTGAAATAGCTGAGACTTGCACCTTGAGGGAGCTGAGACTAAGCCTCTTTTCCAGACCTGTTTGGAGAAAATCTAGTACTGCTTTTGGAGAAGGGAAAGAAGGGTCAATTCCGTTATCCTTCGCCCACGTAGAGAATATATTCCACAATCGATAATAAGCCACCGAAGTGGACACTTTCCTGGACTTCAACATTGTGTCCACCACTGCTGGAGAAAACCCAGATCTCATGAGCCTTTCCCTCTCAACAGCCATGCTGTCAGTTGAAGGCTCTGTGGATTTGGGTGGTGGATCGGCCCCTGGGACAGAAGATCCACTGACACTGGGAGCCTCCATGGATCCTGGATACTCATGGACAGGAGAAGAGGGAACCATGGCCGTCTAGGCCAATATGGGATGATGGCAATGACCGTCACCTCCTCCCTCTCTATCCTCTGAAGTACTGACATGATCATGGAAAATGGGTGAAAAACATAAGCCAGAGTGCAACTCCACTGGTGTGATAGGACATCCCGACCCTCTGCTCTGCTGTCGAACCACCGTGACAGGAACCTGCTGACTTGGCGGTTCTTGTAGGAGGCCATGAGGTCCACCTGAGGTTTGCCCCATCTCTGGATAAGCATGTTGAAGATCTGCCTCGATAGAGACCATTCCAAAGGGTCTATGTGGTTCCTGCTGAGATAGTCCGCTACGTGGTTCTGAATTCCTGGCAGTTACACTGCTTTTATTCCCTCCAGATGTCGCACCACCCAAGTCATCATAGGTGAGAGAATTAGCATCAAGCTCGGGCTCCTGGTGCCTCCCTGATGGTTCACATATGCTACAACTGTGGCATTGTCCACCAAAACCTTGACCCATTTCAAGTGAATGTGGTTCTGAAACACAAGCAGAGCCTGAAACACTGCTTTCAGCTCCAACAGATTGGAGGGTTTGTTCCTCCATTCACGTGGCCACAATACCTGTGCGTATTGGCCCTCCAGATGGGCCCCCCAGCCCATCCCGCTGGCATCTGTAGTGATGGTGACCCATGGGATCTCCCCCAACGGAAACCCCTGGAGCAAATTCCCATCCCGGGACCACCATTCTAAGGAGCGGCTTACTTCGCGGTCTTCTTTTTCCCCGAGGAAGCAGAATCCATCTCGGCAGGGCTAAATATGAACAGACAAAAATAAATTCCCATTCA